TAGAGCTATAAGCTAAAAGTTTGTACTTGAAAAACAATAACAACAACAAAAACTCAAAGCCGAGCCGCTATGCAGCGGTTAAAAATTAGGGAAGGTTATATCCGAATACCAGAGGTGTGTGACCTGGCCACTTTTAGGTTGAAAACTCCAATTTCTAAAATACGAAGAATAGACATTTCGGTCAGTTTATTACAAATTTCTGATCAAACCTAAAGAATAGTTTTTAACAAACTGTTTGGAAGTGCATAAATTCACAAATCAATATATAAGAAAACCAAAACCTATAATGACCAAACTTTATTTAATCCTTAGTCAGGTAGGTACCCTCGCTGAGGTTTACTTGGACTCACGACACCTATGTATGCGATAAAATAAATAAATATTTTCATCACAGAGGAATTCCTTAAGGACTTTTTCAAACTTTTCTCGAATCTATGAAAGTCTGAGAACGTTTGAGAAACAATAAATAAAATACGAGAAACGTAACAGTACGCTCAAAGAGGCAATCGTTAAATGAATAATGTGAAATATTTAGCAAATAGTGGCTATATTGGACACCAGGTGTCAAGATGTTAGCTGTAATAAAACAAAATATTCATCAGTTGGAAATCAAACTGGTATGATGTTTTGTTGTTGTTGTTTTCTAAAAAACTAAGAAGTAATAATATCAATGCTATTTGTTCATTTTATATAGACTTTAAAGCCACGAATGCAAAGCTGAAAAAGATATTGTACATTTGAGCCATTATGGGGTATGTTTTGAAATGATCCCTCGCAGTTTTAAGCGTTTTCGTAGGTTACTATACCCTACATAGGTAAACGACGGTTACTGGATAATGGGGTCGTTGAGTAAGTTCTTAATCGATTAATTACTTTATTAAGCTATCGCCCATGGCTTTAAAATTCATATAACGTTTCTCGGTGGCTCAATGGTTAGTCTGCAAGCATGTATCGCTAATATTCGTGTTTCGATCCTCATGATGAACAGAGTACAAATAAACAAACAAAATCATATGATATATTAGGTACTTCAAGACTGTCGTTTTGCACCCACGTTTAAGAAAAAAAGAATCTAAAAATCAAAATCTTTTTAAACTTTCATAATGTGTCAGTCTCCAACTCATTTCGTGAGTCAATCGCCCTGCTAGTAAAGTAAACTGTATTAATTGGCACCGACCCTGACTTTTTCAAATATCACACTTGTATCTTCTCATTCTATTATCTTCATTAAAAAGCACAAAGAAATCAGATACCTCTATCTTTACGATATTCAGTAAGATTACCTCTTGCCTTTCTTTTCTCACGAGAAAATAAGTAAAGAGATCTTAATTCGTCCCTGTAAGATAACTCCTGCTCTGACTCTCAAGCGTTTCCAATAAATCAGGTTTCTTTCTTAGATAAGAAAACCAATATTGTGCACAATATTTCAAGTTAAGCCTAACTAGTGATGTATATAGAGATAAGTTTCGCTTTGATTTGTCATTTGTTTGTTTATTTTTGAATTTTGCGTAGAGCTAAGGGCTATCTCCGCTAGCCTAACCTAATTTAGAAGTGATATGCTAGAGGGAAGGCAGCTAGTCAACACTATCCACCACCAATTCTTTGGCTACCTTTTTGCCAACTAAAAGTGCGATTGACCGACAATTATAACGCCGCCTCGGCTGGAAAGGCAAAATGCTCAGTGACAGGATTCGAACTCGTTACATAAATACATCCAAAAGCTTTATCAACTTTACTACTAACAACAAAGCATTGCCTTATGGTCTGGTTGACTTGTATACCAGTAAGAAAAAATTCTTTTTCTTTTTTTCATCAAACGATTGAGTGTTTTTCTTCCATATTATATATGCGAAAGAAAGTATTTTAACCCAAATACATTACCCGCACTTAGTCTAATTAAAAGTCATCTGACAACAATTTGTGCAATAGATTCATTGATCCAACTCAACCTGTTGTGCGTCATTGATATAGCTAGAAATGTCCAAGGGTTTAAAGTCATCAGAAAATGTTACTAATTATTACCCTATCGGTGTAATCAATGTAAATAAGAAACGCAAAATCCCAAACACTGATCCCTTACATATGCCACTCGTATCAAATGTCCATTTAACCCCAAACACTAATCCCTGAGAGATGCCACTAGTAACAAAAATCAATGTAATCCCAAACACTAATCCCTGAGATATGCCACTCGTAACAAAGGTCCATTTAATCCAAAACACTGATCCCCGAGAGACGTCACTAGTAACAAAGGCCCATTTAGTCCCAAACACTGATTCCTGAGAGACGTTACTAGTAACAAAGGCCCATTTAGTCCCAAACACTGATTCCTGAGAGACGTTACTAGTAACAAAGGCCCATTTAGTCCCAAACACTGATCCCTTACATATGCCACTCGTATCAAATGTCCATTTAACCCCAAACACTAATCCCTGAGAGATGCCACTAGTAACAAAAATCAATGTAATCCCAAACACTAATCCCTGAGATATGCCACTCGTAACAAAGGTCCATTTAATCCAAAACACTGATCCCCGAGAGACGTCACTAGTAACAAAGGTATAGTTAATTCCATCACTAACAACTTTTTTCTTTCTTTCTGTTACCCAGCCATTCTTCAATCCAATCAACTTCTCCCAACCCACACCAATGCTATTTTTCTTAGTTAATCATCTTTGTGGCACCTTACCGAAAAGCTTTACAACATTTAATTGCAG